TCAGCACACACACACACACACACACGCGTGTGTGTGTGTGTGTGTGTGTGTGTGTGTGTGTGTGTGTGTGTGTGTGTGTGTGCGCGTGCGTGCGTTAGTGGGCAAACATTCGCGAGCTCAGACCAAAGGCTCCCCTGCCCCCCTTCTTCATGTCACGTCTGCTCGCAGGAAGCGCCGGGCAAGGCAACACTGTACCGCCGCCTTCTGGTCAGCCACATGTACTGCGCCAGGGAAAAGGGCTGACTGACAGGATTTTGTTTCATAAAAATTGCACCCCCCCCCGCCCTCCCTCTATAGAAGTGAATAAACGACTCTTCTACTATCATATGTATCTTTTTAATCTTGTTTGGTTTTGACCAAAAGTTTGTTTTGTCTACGAAGTGGGGGTTTGATGAAACCAACGAGCGATGGGAGAGTACGGAAACCAAGCATCGCTCGCTAACGGGTCACAGGGTATCGGTGACTCACAAAGGTGGCCGATACCGTCCACCATACTTCAGCCATAACAATTGGACAGCAAGCAAGTCCCGCTTGCCAGTAGTTGACACGATATTGTGGCAGTTTGACACGACAGCAAAGGCTCATGCGTCAGGGTCTGTGTCAAAAGTATTTGTAAGAAAGGTGCATGGCATCAGTGAATACTAAAGTGTGAATACTCTCCCCAAGAAATAAAATTCACAAAAATGGTATTGAACATCAGTAAAAGCATCCCGTGTTCTACTGTTGATTGCAAGAATTCACCATTCAACAAACAACAAGTGTACAAATGTACTGCAGCCAAATTTAAACATTTCCATCAAGTGACAAAAAACTGAGAGAAACATGAACTAAAGCCTGAACGCGTCCACTCTTGACACCTTTCAACATTTTTTATTTAGTGATTTATTTTACATCAAGCAGCTTGACCGCGAATATGAAACACAAACTCGAGAGACGCCATAAACAATTACCATCAAGCGGGCAAAAATGTCAAACGTGCATGAGAGCACAAACACACACGCTAACACGCATCGAAATGAGCTGTCAATCACATGAGTCATGTGACTTTGCTGCCAAACAGGATTACAGATTACCCAACATGTTAACCACAATCACGAGATAAAGACAACATGATTGACTATTCATTATCATCTCATTTACAAACACAAACACACACATACGCACGACACGCACACACACTTACCCGTCTGTCAGACGTGACCAATCGCAATTCTTGCATGAGTTTTCCAGGTAAAGACCTGTGGGTCGTCCTGAAGGGATGGATCGTGCCCTGCAGGAGGTAAACATGCCATTATTATATGCATGACATGATATTCATGTTGCATTCCATACATTCCTATCGTAAGAGGAGGAGGGGGAGGCCAAGCGGGAAGCACGACTTGTCCTACACTGCCACCTAGAGGGTTGTTTGCGAAGTATGCATAGCAAAACGGAGGAGCAAAATGCTTTGGACTGGTCGGACTTGAAAGATGATGTTGAAGGTCAACTCCAAGTGTTATTTGAAAGATGCCAAATGAACAAGACAATTAAAGCGGAATACGATCTGCGCACATAACTTTATAAATACAGAAGGAGCAAATCACCAGTGTTAGGCCAAATCCTCCCTCCTCTGTCCTAACTTGACGAACTTGGATTGTTTTTCACAAATTGATACTAAATGGTCAGTTCCAATGTGGATCGGTAGTTTTGGCTTGCTCCCTTTGACCAAGGCATGTTAATGGATCGAGAAATAGGCCATAGATTGAAGAGGGAGGTTGTTGATAAGTGATTCTTACAGTAACTTGGAAGAAACAGGACAAAAACACTCACCAGGACATATGTGTCATGTTTCTTCTTGTGCATTGGGGGCATTTCTGAGGACACAAGACACAACATGAACACCAGCACCAGGAATCATGTACATTTCTCAGGAGGAAGAACTTATTTTACAAAGAAAACCAATCTCTTTTGATTTTCTTTTTTTTTTTTGTACAAGTTGGAGGACATGAGTTCGTAACCCATGGAGGACAAGAAACTAGTTGAGGCCGTAGCGAGGTTTCTTGGCGAGTTGCTCTTGAGCAAGGCATCATCGTCACCAACCAAGCTCAAGTGGTGCAGTACGCGAAAAAAGAAGCAAATGCCGGAGTGAAAAAAAATAACTTGCGGCGGGGAAAAACAAACAAGAGAAGGGAAGGAAAAATCGTTTTGTTTTTTCGTGGGGTGAAATTTCATTTCAAGGCCATGGACTTTTCTTCAAAATATGCTGTATGCACATACACGCTCATGACCATGACAATTCTGCCTTGACCCAGATAGTAAAGTTCCATTTTAATGACCTTTTTAGAAGATTCATTTTATCAGCTTGTGTATCTAATAATGCATCCCGACAGATCCGGTCGTCATTTTCTTCATTAACTCACTTTCAAAGAGTTGAGCCAAATAGCGGATGTTTCAATAGTGTCATTCAATGGAAACTTGGCGTCGATAGCATGTAGCCTGTTAGCATAACAAACCGTGTTCGCTGAGGTTGATGACGTCCACCGCAACCATGTCCGGTTTGTCCAGCGGGCCCACCTTTCGCTCGGTCACGCCGGTCGGAACCACATCGGGCTTGGGCCCCAATTTTCTGGGGTAATACTCGGCCGCACTGAGGTAGGACGGCGCCGCCTCGGACGTGGACAGCAGCAGCGAGTCCATCGAGGCCATCGCTGAGCGCGTCAGATCCTCCTTCTCCTCCTTCTTCCTCTTCCTTTTCCTCTTCTTCTTCGTCTGTGTCATTGAAAGCGAGGCAGACCGAAGCGCCATCTTGTTATGCTTCCCCCTGCAGGACAATACAGAACTCCTTGGGCATTGTACAAATGGTACGTCCGTTTGTACTAGTTTAACTAACTTAACTCGTTTAAAAAATATTTAAAAAAAATTAGACCAGTGTATTTATTTGTTATCTTATTTGTAAAATGACCCATTAACAAATGGGCTTTTCTCTCGATATTGACAATCGTCGTGTTTTTGTTCACGTTCTTTCTGATTGGCTGGCAGAATTCTTACCATTGTGCGGCGTACATTCTGATAAAAGTCGAACTTGCCTACAAGTGCTTCCAGCTGCATGAGCCTCCAAGTCCTCAACAAGATGGACTGTGTCAGTGGCAGTGTGCTTACGGAGAAACATGTGAGGGGCCCCTTGCCTGTCAGGGGGCCTCCTCCCGGCCCCGAAACGGGAAGTAGAGGGAAAGAGAGCAAAGGCAGAAGCAAAACATGTGCGCGCGCGCACTCACACACGCACACACACAGAAAAAGGAGGAAGGAGAAAAAAAATGCAATTTTGTAAAAATGTACTTGCTCTTTTGGTCTTTCTCTCGAGGCACTGTGGCATGCTGTGCATGTGGAGGCGGTGCCTGCAATATTAAAGAAAAAAAAAAACACTCGCTCACACTTATGCGGGCGCACACACAAGCCCTGCAGTCAGTCAGTCAGTCTTTCTGCTTTCGGAGCGTTTCCATTGCGTCGGGGGGATGTCGGCGAACGTGGCAGAGTTGCCGGCTCGGCTGGCGTCCAGGCTGCGGCGGGCCCGCGACCTGAGGGACGAGGAGAAGCTGTACCGGCACCGGGGTGTTCTCTACCCGCTCCTCATGTGCCCGCCGGAGCACCTGAGCGCCCTGGAGGGCGTGACGGCCAGGGAGGACGACGTCTTGCTGGTGGCTTATCCCAAGTGCGGTGAGGGCTCCGACGCCGCGCATCATTTCCCCTCGTGTCTCTCTGGCCCCCCGTCCCTCGCCCCGGGTGTGAGAGCCTGTCGGTTAATCGAACAGCCGGCGGAAATTGGACATGAGGGCCCGGTTTCCGATGTTTTCCAATTGTTGCGTTCTCCTTATACATTAAGACATTGCAACATATGACAAAAGGACGTTCACCCCCACCTCCCTCAAAAAAAAAAACTGCAAAAAATGTATGCAAACTTTTCACATTTGTCTTGTTCAGATACAAAGCGTAAAGGACAAAGTGCAGTTAAGCAATTTATGCAATTCGGTGGTGCCTTTAGATTGTTCCATGACCACACTCATAAGTCCATCAATTGTATCTTAAATCATCTTTTCCCCATGGAATGAATGGAATTGGCTTCCATCCGTGCCAACCACCCAAAAGACTTCCATATTTTTGAGGAAAAAATAGTACAGTACTCAATAATATTGGACTTTGTAAAACTAACAATGGGCGTACTGTGGACCCCCTCGCTTTATGGAAGATAGGGACCGAAAATCCACTACTATCTCACGCCAGAATAATGCAAGAGGATGGGGGAAAAAATTAAATACATTTCAACCTCCCATTAGTCTTCACAAACTGCTGCTAATGCATTTTCCAGAGAAAACAGGGAGAGGGGGTTCCCCTCCCTGTGCCCCCAATAGATATTCACAAATATTTAAAATGGTTGGAAAGACTATTGACAGCAAACATGCAAATTTGTGAACCCACAGGTGGAAAACAGCAAACAAGCAGGGCTCTCCTGTAGGTGTGGTTCTGTATGTGTGTGTGCGTGCGTGCGTGACACTTGGTCACCGTGTTGCGTGACAACCTGCCGCCAAACAAAGCCGCTCGACCTGTGTTTTCTGTTCCGGTGGCTGACAATGAATGGAACACGCAGACGCGCAAAACCATCTCCGAGTGTATGTGTGTGTGTGTGTGCACGCAGGTTTCAACTGGATGGTGGGCGTGCTGAAGCAGATCCTGACGCAGGCCATGGGAAGGACAATCGACACCATCATGCCGCCGCTCATCGAGTTCTTCGGACCGGACGTCGCTCAGGTTTTCAGTTCAGCTTTCAAACGTAGGCCTGAGCAAAGCAGCAAAGGGGGGGGGGGGGGCTGTGGGGGGGGGGGGGGGGGGGGGGGGCTGGACAGCCCCCGTCCGGCCTGTTTTCCATGTCTCCCTCCTCCAACACACTTGATTCAATCAGAATCCTTATCAGGTTTCTGCCAAGCTTGCCATTGAGTTGATCAAGTGTGTTGGAAGGGGGGGGCATCGAAAACAGGCTGAAGAGGGGCACCAGCCCTGCATGCTTTCAAGCCTGTTTGGCAGACCCCCCCCACCCCCCAAAGCGCCAGACCTGTGCCGTCCTTGGCTCCCAAATCTCCCTCTTTGCTTCCCACCTTCCGCGTCGAGGGCGCCAAATGGCGGGCGCACGGCCCATTGACGGCCACCTCCTGTCGCCCCCTTCAGGTGATGGACCAAATGGCTTCTCCCAGATTGTTGGGCACCCACATGCACCCCGACAACATCCCCGCCTCCTTCTACGCCAACAAGAGCAAAGTAAGCGCCGCCGGGTGAGCGATCGCTCGGCCTGCTTGCCGTCGAAGACGTCTTTGTTGATGGTCTTGCAGATTCTGGTCATCTTCCGGAACCCCAAAGACACGCTGGTCTCCTTCTACCACTTCTGCAACAGCAACCCTGTGCTCCCCTCCTCAACCTCCTGGGACTCCTTCTATGGCAACTTCCTCTCCGGAGAGGGTCAGTCTCTACACACACACACACACACACACACACACACACACACACACACACACACACACACAGAATTGAATAAGGCCCGTTGTTGTTGATGTTGCGTGCGGCAGTTCCCTGGGGCTCGTACTTTGACCACGCGTTGGCCTGGGAGCAAAAGATGGCCGACCCCAACGTGATGATCGTCACCTACGAGCAACTCAAGCAAGTAAAGGAATACACAAACTCCTCATGTACCAAACGTTTGCAGACATGCGGCCAGCCGGCGGCAGCGGCAAGCAGAGCCAAAGAGAACTTGTCAGATGTGAGCGGATGAATAATCTTGTGAATAATTGTGACGCAGGACCTGGGCGAGAGCGTCCGTCACATTTCGTCCTTTTTGGACGTGGAGCTGAGTGACGCTCAAGTGCAGCTGGTGTCTGACGGAAGCACCTTCGCCGCCATGAAGGAGAGCTCGCAGATGTCGCACGGGCCGATGGGAAATATCTTCTTCAGGAAAGGTGCCAAAAAAAGGAGGAGTAGCTTAGCATAGCTTAGCATGGCCAGTTTTTCCTGTTACTTTTCAAAATGGTCCCGCTATGACATAGCGGCTACGTCATTCACGCTGTCTTGATGCCATCGGAGGAAGCCTCGTGATGTTGTTGCAATACATCAGGGGCATCTGTGATCTGCCGTGCCATTTTGTCTTCACACAATCACAGACAACAAAACAGATTTCATTACTGAACTCATCGTGAGAGTGACTCCGTTGACGCGGAGTCCGTATTTGGCCTCAGGTCAACATTCTAGTTCCCGAAACATTTGGAGCCACCCGTTTACACGCGTGAGCGGACGGAGTTACTCCGGCATTTGAATAAACCGACTTTTTTTGTGCGTGCGTCCAGATACAAACGGTGTCATTTTCGCCATGGCGAGAGAAAATAACGTGGAAATGCCGCAGGGCGATCAATGCCTTCAAGTTAAGCTCTCTATGGGCAGGGTGCCGCGCATCCGAGTGCTTCCGGTACTACAAAGAGCAAGATTCCTTGCGGATGGAGCACGAGCATGTGCAAAACACAAATCAATGTCCCTTTTGAAGGAGGCATTTACGGGAGCCACCATTTGGACGAGAAAAGGGGGAACCCCAGGGGTCTGGTTTGGGTTTTCAAAAACACAAAGGAGAGCATATTCAGGTTTTTTTTTTTTTTTTTTTGCTCGCATTTCAATGGCCCCCAAATATAATGTTCAGCTTTGAAAAGGGCGAATGACTGCATGTAAAGATAGTCCGCGTCTTTACCGTTATCGCAAATGTTTCAAGACAAAAGTGTAACTGGTTTAACGAGGAGTTGTGGACGTGCTATCTGCAGAGTTTGAAGGGCAGCGCGTGGAAATTGCGCAACTCGCGTGCTTGCGATGAAGCCCTTGATGTCTTTCTCGCACTTTTTTTTTTTTTCTCAAGCGTGATGATGCAAGAAGCGCGTTTCAGTGGCTCCCCACCATTTGCAAATATTCATGGCTTCTCGCTGTGGAAAAATTTCGTTCTGGCAAAAGCAGGACTCCAAGAATGCTTGTTTCAGACATTAATGCAAAGCTATGGAGGCATAAAAAAAAAAAATATCTAAATTATATTACCTTTTTTGATATCAAGCCTTTTATATGAAACATGCACTTTTAAAACGGCTGGGTCGAAAAAAAAACAAACAAAAAAATTGGTCAAAAATGGATTTACTTGCAGGTTTTACTTATATTTATATTATTTTATATTGATATTTTATATTCATTTAGATACTTTTTGTCTTCTACTTTCTCCCTTTCATAATTTTGCTGCTGTAAATTGGGAAGGTCTCCATTGTGAGACAAATAAAGGTTTTCTTATCTTAAGTTTTGTACTAAACAACCCATAAAGTTAATGTTTTCTTCGTTTTGAGCCAGCAGTTTTAGGAGTGCGAGGCGTGTTCCCACCGCGCCGATGGCCGAGCTTTGCGTGTGCAAAACCCCCTTTGATGACCCAATCATGTCACGCGTGCGATCGTTGCAGGCGAAATTGGCGACTGGAGGAACCATTTCACCGAGGAGCAGAGCCACAAGATGGACCAGGCGTTCAGCAAACATCTGGCCGGGACCCGATTGGGCCGCCTGCTCGACTACGAGCTCCACTGCAAGTAGTCGGACGCCGCCGGCAGCAGGCGACAACTTCCTGAGGGCCTCCCGCCAATTTGGCCCGAGGAGAGCTCATATTTCGAAAAGATATGCGACCAAGCTTGAAAATCGATTTAACTCAAGAGAAGCGAGATGAAATTCAGTTGGAGCATCCATTTTACCGGCTACCGAGAACGAAAAATCCGTTTTCTTCCACCTAGCAGTGGCTGCTGGGTCAATAGAGGGCGCTAGCGCAGCATCCGATCGCTTCGGCTAAGTCAAGACAGCGAATCTGTAACCGAATCCAATTTCAAAGTAAATCTTTGACCCAGCTCAACCAATTTAAATTGTTGGGTTGACCTCCGTTGTGTCATTTTACGATGCCATTAACCTCCCGCGATGCAAACAAAATTGAGCACGGCGGGGGGCGCTCCATTCCACGTGACACCTGGCGATCGCCGATGGGCTTGTGGAAGGGCCTCCGCCCGCGGCTGCCGAATGATTCAAGCTCAGCAGAAGTGGCGGCCTTCAGTCATGGGCGCAAGTCGTTGCTTTCTCCGTCTCTGTTCCTGTTCCTTCGTCCCCTCAATTGCGCCACTCCTTGCCTCAGCCCAAATGTGCACATTTTCTTCCTCTTAAGATGTCCCAACTTGTGGTCAGGCTTGACTGTCCTCCCCAGCACATCAGAGATGCTGTCATCGGGTTTGACTTTACTCTTGGCCGAATCCTCATTTTCAAATTATCCGATGGAAGAAACCATTTGTTCACATCATCCAAAAGCCAACGTGTAATTTCCCCTGGGATTAATAAAGTATCGGTCATTTATCTCTACTTGGCCATTTTGTCCTTTCCTGCAGAGAGGAAATATCTCAACAGAGAATCATGTCGTCAGTTTTGGCCTTGTCCAAAAACAAAACAAAACAAAACAAAACAAAAACGAATTGGCTCATATTCGCTGTCCTGCACGAACCCTTGGGTTATACAAGATGCTTGCTTTGCTTGAGACTTTCTTGCATTTTGCAGCCATTTTCCAATTGACTTGGTTATTGCCTTTTTTGTTGGTTAAACGGAGCATTTAGTGGCAGCTAAAGTGGACTTGGGAAACCGAACACCATTTTTGTTGAATCCGCCTTTTTCAATCAACATCTTATGTACAGATCAATGCACAGTTAGCATATTTCAACAAAATACAATTTTGAACCAATGCGTTGGATTTTTTTTTTTTTTTTTGGAGGGGGGGCAAGTCAAGATGTGTCTGTGGAGACGATAAACTCGGCGATGCGAATGCGGACGCTTGGCACGCATACACAGCTGCGATAACCACGCACATCCACCCCTGATGTCAAGGCCCAAAACTTGTGAAAATAACAACAAAATAAAATCAACTAAAAGTGATCGCCATTAATAATTGCTGAAACAATTTTATGTTGATATTGTCTGATTGGCTGAAGGAAACCGGGAAGTGTTTGAGTTACCGGAAAGAGGTACGTTCTTGTTCGTTCGGGAGTTGCGGAGCAGACGTTGAAAAATAAAAGCTGAGTTCAAAGGATTCCATCTCTCCTTTTGCTCATTCTTCAAGTACAGCTATCCACTAAAAACCGACGAACCCCTCGACTTACATTATCCTCGAGAACTTAGGAGTCCTTTTCAAATCAAGTGATCAGTTCTTCAAGTGCCTTTTTTTTAAGGCAACCGCCGCCCTCACGGTTGCGGTTTCCTCCTGAAGCCGCGGCCGGGGGTTTTCTCCCACACTGATGATGAGGTGTGTGTAGAAAGCCGCCCGCTCTTTGGAGAGGAGTTCGTAAGTCACAGAGTTGAGGCCGTCCGAGTGCCAGGTCAGTTCGGTTCTGTTCAGGACCTCAAAGCTACAAAGTTCGAATCAGTTTAATATCAAAGGACGACCGCTTTCGCCGCACGTTTCAGGACTGCAAGGCTTGCTTACTTGTATGGATTTTCCTCATTGCCGCGGTCTCGTTGATGCTTGATCATTTTGTAACGACCAATGGCCACTGGGGGGCGCACGACCTTCATGCCAGACAGAGCCACTCTGCTTGAGCAGCAGACAACACGACATAACATCAACAGTCTGGCAAACTTTGGCAACAGCACAAGAATAGTTGCTCCCGCATCAGAGAAAAAAATCGGTGTCATGTTACAACATGACCAGTTATTACCAGTGGGGGGCGGTGCAGAGCATGTTGCTAAACGTTTTCTAAAAACACCTTTCCAGATTCACAGATTGTTCTGTATCGTCTTCCTTCCATGTACTCTCACCCACACGCATCGATACTTAAAATAAAAATAAAAAAAATTCAGATTGAAAACAAGCCAGGAGGATTTTTTTACCTTTTCCACAAATCATCATCCTCTCGGCCCCAGCCCCAGTACTGGTTGGAGAAGCCGTTCATCTTCCTGTACTGGTCCGGAGTCACTGCGACAACACCGCCAAAATATTGCGGGTAGGGCAGCCTAGTAGGGGGGGGGGGGCACACGGCCAACACAACATCTGAGGGCCAAGCCGGCCAACGGGTACAAATAATCACTGACTGAGGCAGGGATGGCAAGCTGGCAGCCTGCGTGTCGCATGTGGCTCGCGTCTGCACTTTGGCTGGTCCCCAAATAATAATTGAAATCAATACATGAAGGATTTTTTTTTTTTTTTAGAAGGGGGGGGGGGGCTGTCCTTT